TTCAACAAACCATTGTTAACACTATGTCTAATCTGTGGTGGCTGGGGTTCTTCATGATGCCTCATGTTTCTGGTAGTTCATCCTACATAGTCTCACTATGGGTTTGAACATGACCCAAAGCGAATCCCATCTTACCTTCCATTCATGACCTGAATAAAACAAGAATCATGTGGGAAAGAAGAGACCTGAGATTATTTATCCAGATAGTACTCACAATAAAAGGTTGTTTTCTTACCTTTATTGTCCTAATTCTGTAATATCCTAATCTTGATTTGAGATTGTATTCTGCCTTTTGTAATATACAATGTGCATATTTTGTTATATTTTGTTACATTCTGTTCTCTTGTTCTTTTCTAGATATTTCTTTGTTCTTTTCTAGACACTTTTACTCAAATATAAATTGGTTTAAGTAGTATCATAGTTCCTTGTTTCTGCACAGTGGTAGAAGACAACAGGCCTTATTAGATTGTCCTTTCTATATGCTGATCAGATATCAGAGGGGTGAGAGAACTTTAAAATTAAAATCATTATATATTGTCAGAATATAGCAAATATGAAAGATATCAGTCTCATAGTGCATTGGTGAAATTCAGTAAGCAATTTTCAAAGAATATATGAGGTGGAAAAGCATAACAAATTATGCAATTCAGGTGGATTAAAATACCTCTCCCACAGCTACTGATGGTTGCCATTCATTGTAAATGACAACAGAGTCTTCTCTGTTTTAATTTGATTGATGAGTTCTCAGCAAGCTATAAAAAATCCATTTTCATGAGAAATGTCTTCCCACACACAGACCAACAGTGTCAGACACACCTAAAATTGCTCCTGGATTTCCTTTGGACTCCCTCCACTTCAACTGACTCTGTAGTGGTCAATTTGGATGTGAAACAGCTGAAAACTGGAATCAGCTTCTTTCTTTCACAATGAAATGCTCTCACAGAGCAGTGAAAATGCTACTTTTTTTTCTTTTTTTTTTAAATAACAAGGTTTATGACCACGAAGATGATTTGCATTTTCTGGATTTTGTGTCTCTACATTGTACACCCCCAAGGTTTGGGAAGAACTTAGTGGCTGTAACAGCCTCAAGCAGTAAAGTCTCTTCTACAAGAGAGGTCAGGGCGGCATTTTGTAGCAATCAACTTATTTACTGGACTGGGCACTTCGAAATATCCTTGAAAATGAACAAACAAAACTCAATGCCATATATTCAACTTTAAATAAGGAAAATTAATTACAAAAGTTCTACAGTTTGAAAACCTCGTAGTCGAATCCTGACAAAGCTGCAGCAAAGCATGTTCACGGACGTGTTATCTTTTATGAAGCCAATTAAATTATCAGTGCTTCTCTGCATGATCTCTTGTATGTCATTGGAGAAAACTTTAGTGTCTTCCAATTGTTCACTCAGATACCCTGCTAATTACTTAGCCATTAAGACAATATATTATCTTCCCCCAGGCTTTACAAAAGTCAAATTTCATACTGTTCCTATAATTAGTAGCTCACAAAGTCACTTCTGTTAGATAACATTAGGGGAAATAAGATACCAGGCAGTGATTTGGAAGGTAGGGAAAAATACTGTGTGGTAACACAGATAAAAACAAACTTTAGGGTTTTTTGAGCAGTCATCATTAGAAACTTTTTCAGATGATGGCTTTTCATAGTTTAAATTTTAGTTTACATTAAGATATGCACAAAGAATTTGTGAAAATGACAGATGAAAAACTATTTGCTAAGTGAAGAAAATGTTATGAGAAATGCTTTGAAAATACTGATTCATCAACCCATGCAAAACTAAACGTTCTACACACAAAAACACGTGGAACAAACTTTTAACTGGTAACACATTTACATAGGAAAAAATTTTGCATGGAAAAGATGGTTATTTTTCCTTCTTTAAATACAAAAATGCAACCCATTTATAACTAAAAGGTTTTGACTTTTTCCTTTGCCCATGAGGCAGTTTGTGCACTAAATAACTTTGTGTTGCTGAAACTGCCACAGAAGAATAAACAATGGAAATACGAGGAAGGTGGGCAAAGTCAGAGGAACTTGGTTATCAGGTATGTAAGTAAACCTGTTGATAATCCCTTTATAGAGCCATATCTGAATCCTTATTGTGACTTTAGGACTCTGAAGTTGAATACATCTAGTGCTTGTGTATGGTTTGATATCACAACCTGCAGTCACACACAGTGTGATGCAGTAATGCAATCTCGTAGCAGAACGTGTACAAACATGTACAAAATGTCACGAATAAATGAGAAATTACAATGCTTGTACCACTCTTTATGCAATTTTCCTGTTCTGATTGGAATTGCTGTAAGATACAGTTGGCTTACAGTGGTTTTATACAGCCTTAAGTTCCACAAAGACACATAAAGGCTGAGGGAACAGAGAAAGTCTTTTTCTTTTCTTCAGAGGGACTTGTATTTCAGTTAAGGTATTTGCTAAATGAGTTTTTGAAAACCTGTGTAGCAGCTCTGGTCCCTGCAAATTTTCTATGGAAAATGGTAAATTTAGCAATTATTTTGGTTAACTGTGCCAGTGAAACAGAATAATTGTTATCAGAGTCTAAGCTTAGGTATGCACAGCAGCTGAAGTGCTGTATGTCAGAATTTTGCTGCATATTCATTGAGTTTGACCGAGTAACAGTTTATTTTCTTTCACTGAGTTATCCAGAAAGGTGAGTTATCCCAAGGTTGTGATCATTTGGGGGCTTTCATCTTGTCTTACTGTATCTTTTTTATGAAGGGCTGGTTTTTATTTGCAGGTACCCAATAATCCTGATTGTGTGATTCTACCTTTGAATGGGGAGTGGGTTGCCAATAGCTTTGAAAACATCTGTTGAAAAACTCCTCTGATATCTCCCCCTGCCACAGAATTTGTAGTACATACTTGGCTTAAAGCATAAGTGTACTTGAGTTGACTTCAAAAGAAATAAAATTATCTATTTTTTAATCCACTATTTTCCCCCCACCTTCTCTATGTGTATATATGTTCTTTCTTTGAAGAGACTTACCATGTCAAAATCATAATTGCTTTAAATACAATAGAGAATACCATTTCAGAATAAAACATTTGCTTTTTTAAATTGGAATTGAGTCTTATCCTTGAGTTTTATTTTGTAATAGTGAATGGCTTGAAATATAGACAAAATACTGCCCTTGAAAAAGAATGCTGTTTCTTTTGATCCAAAGTGACATGTCATTTGGGGGACAGAAAGGAAGAAAGATTTCAGAATGGGAAGATGTGAATTTTAGAAGTAATAAGGATTTTAAAGAGCACTCATTTTGCTTTGACTGCAACTGTAGCCTGGAATTGCCAACTCTTTAGTCACAAACTTCTTTGTATTGTACATCATGTCTGAAAGGTAGTTATTAAGAGCAAGAATTTAATATTCACCAGGGCAGATTTGGGTATGAGAAAATAGGAAGGGAGCAAGAACAAGCCTAACATTATTCCTTTTATTCTGCTTTACCTCCTCTCTTCCTTTCTTCCACCAAAACTGAAGAGGAATCAGTGCCTACAGCCTGTGTCTGCGGTGCTGCCTCCTTCCATGCACCAAACCTGCTGTCTTTCCAATCAGTGGAAAATTACCACTCACTATAATCACAGTTGTATCAGACCAGTAGCCTACTTTCAAGGGGAAAATCCCTGCCGTTCTCACCCCTCTTATCTTTAACACCAGAAATACTTCCTTTTTTTTTTTTCTTTTTTTTTTAAGTCAGTGACAGCAGGGCAGGATTCCTCCCTAATGTCTATTCAGCAAAGTCAGAACAACACACTGGGAGAACTGCTGAAACTGTTGGGTCAAAATTAAGCTCTTAAAATGGCATTTCAAAAATTGATTCTTGGGTTCTGAGAGGAAATCAAGAGCTATCTTCTTTAGTGTCATCTCACCTCATTCAGCTATGAGGGAAACTGCTTTTATTAAAGAGAGGCCTTTGGAATCGGAAGAAAAACTAATCAGTGTATATGTAATCTATGAGTTAATACTTTTTAACTACTCCATTAATATGAACTGATGTTGCATCCATCAAAGGCATATTTTGGGGCACTTACTAAAAACATCTAATTTTAAATATTTTCTGTGTCTTATTACAAAAGAAGGAAATACTGCCTCGTTCCTCTAGAGATGCAAAGAAAATAACCTTGAATATGTTAAACTGAGAAAAAACCATATGGATCTTTGAAATTGTATTTACAGCAATGGTTTCCATTGTACTGCTGGAGGAGTCAGAAGGAATAGGAGTCTGTGCAATCTGTACATGTTGGAGTTGCTCTTTCATTTGTTCTGTTCTCACATCGGAAAGCCACAAGACAGTAACTGCAATACATGCTGGCAGTGTGTAGATGTGGGAGCTGGCAGGAGAAAGAAAGAAATCTCTGTTTAAATGTGTGTGATGAAGTCTGAGGATGGTTTTAAAACAATATTTCAAAAGGCACACCTGGCAGGTTTGTGGTAAGATTTATTTGAATGACTCATTTCTGTTTTAAAGGCCAGCAATGAAGGGACATGAGGTTCTGCTCTCCCTATGTAGGGGTGTCATCCTTGTCCCCTCAAGGTGTTGTGAGGGTAAATATACAAAGTGTTGCAAGTGTCTTTTACTTGAATAAGGAAGGCATAGAAATTGTTCTGTCAGATAAGAAGTTATCTCACTCTTCCTTGTTACCACATGGAACCTACATAAAACGTAGGTAATGCTCTTTTGTTAAGTGATATTAGTGAAGTTGTCCGGGTACAATTTCAAGCAACAGTGAGGACTGTCTGTAAATTGTGAATCAGTCTCTTTTAATGATTCCTCATTATATACCAAGAACAGATTTAATTTTTTAAGTCAATACACCAAAATAAAACCCATGAAGAATTGTATGAACAAAATAACATATATATGGAAACTGGCAAGGAAGGAAGGAGCTTTATAATTGCATGGAGCAGATTTTACTAATGACCAAAACTTGCTTCTATTAATGAAATTTATTTTCTTATTTTGCAGCTTGCAGGCCTGGATTCTATAAAGCTTTTGCTGGAAATGTGAAGTGTTCCAAATGTCCTCCACATAGTTTGACCCATGTAGAAGCAACTTCTGTCTGTCAGTGTGAAAAAGGTTATTTCAGAGCTGAAAAGGACCCACCGACCATGGCATGTACCAGTAAGTCTGATCAGTACCAGTGTCTGCAATTCTCTTCTCCCATTGCCTCATTTATTTCATTTTTTATTTTAAAAAAACAACAAGTTTGTACATTTTGTGAAGAATTCCTTTCAAGTTAACCAAAAGAGATTTTTTTTTTAATCAAAATTCAAACAACATTTTTCTGTTTAGTCTAGAGAACCTTTAAAATAGCCACGTTTCTTAGTTTGATGACTTTTTTACTGGTGACTCTGAGATATAAAACAAAGAGGGTAATTGCTGTCATATAGATAATAATGTGGTGTTTTAACTACCAATAGGTATCTTAAATGCTTGAAAATATGCTGGTACAAAAGCTTTCAAAAAACTGGAGTCATGTAAAGAAAAAAACTGCTATGACATGCTCTGCTGTCTCAGATTTAAATGAAGAGTATAAGAACAATATTGATATTTTATTCAACACAATTGAGTAAAAACTAAACTTTCTAGAAAAGACAAGAAGATTTTTTTTTAAAAGAAAAAAGATATATCTAATCAGAAGGTATATAATTAAAACTGTTGCATATCATCTTTTTTTAATCTTCTTATGCAACTGTGATAATGAAAATTTTTGATAAATATTCAAATACATAATTTTGTGTTTCTTGACTAACCTGTCATAAAACTGTCATCAAGATAAAACTGCTGCCTAGCAATCTACGGGCAGAAATCCTGAGAAGAGATTTTTATTACTTTGATCAGTGTTCTCACATCTAGAAACAAAAAGCACAAGTTTTCTTTTTACTTAATAAAATATTTCTCATAGGTTTCCATTCATGGTTCATTACTCACTGGCATTCATTTATTGGTCATTAGCAACTATATCTGTTTAATCTCAAAACTGAGAAAAAACAGCAGCATTTAAAAATCTGTGGGTGAAATACTATATTTACATGTAATAGGCAATTAAAATTGCTGTTTAGCAAAGGAATTTTAAGATTGCAAAATTCCCTAAGACACCCCATTTTCTGTATAGCACTTTGCCAGCTCTTTCAGTGGAGAATTTGATCTCAGTACATTTTGTGCCATGGTTAAGAAAATTCTAAGAAAAAAAATAACATGTTAAATGAATGAAGTATTTCAACAGAATTTTAAGTACAAAAAGTTTAAGATGAAAAACCACCAAAAAAAAAGTGTTGTTACAAGAACCATCAGTGTGTAGCCATAACTTTACTATGTTTACACTGAGTGAAAAAATAACTGAGCTGACAGAATTGTACCCTGTGCTCAGGATGGTCTTTCCAAAGGACACTGTACTGGGCAAGTTGGGAAGATACCAGGTAATTTGGATCTGATGTACAAAGTCAGAGGCATTCTGCAATCCTGAGGTCATTACACAGACCAAGACATTGTCCAGCCACTAAATGGGGGATGGTCATTAAAACTGCATTTCTCAGATTGAAGGCACTAAGCAAAAAATTGTCTTATCCAACAGTAGGGTTTTTAGAGGGGAAAGGTAAATCCCACATTCCACCTAAGGGATTTAGGGCTCAGACAGACACCCCAATCACCTTCACAGAACCTGCTCTCAACTCAGTCTGGAACAAGGAACACAGGCCTACAATTTTGCATAAAATATGTGAGGGAATAAACAATGTTTTCCAGACTTCTCCCAGGAAAAATGGTGATTACAAATAATCCCACTCAAATCAATGCCTCAAGAACAGGCCATTAGAAACTTACTCACAGAACTAATACATCCCAGGCATTCTTGACAGTCTCATGCTTAGAAAGACAGTTTCACTCATCCATTATGCAGATGAAGTTCCATATTATTTATAAATCATTGGTTTTTCATCTCTGAAAGACAGTTCTTTGAAAAAATTACTCATACATAGTATTAGGATTCCATAATTATCTTTCAGAGCACAATTTTAAGCCCTGATACCCACCAGTATTGATAAGGTTGGGAGGAGCACGAGAGCCCTGTGGCATCAGGGAGCAGGTTCTACAACACCCTGGTGCTTTCTCAACAAAAGTTGAGTTCAGAGAGATGTTTTGGCTGGAAACTCTCAGGGAAAACTTGCTAGCCCTCTCCAAATATCAGCCAAAGCAGCTGAGAGTGTGGAGGCAGAGATGAACCACAGCAGAGGTTGAGCAGTGCCCCATCTCACCTCAGCTTGGGAGATAGAAGAAATAAAGGAGACAGTGAACCACACTCTAATTTCTGCCTTGCTCTTGCTTTAGTGCCACCAGGCATTGTCTCCCACTCGGCCCAGACTCCAAGGTGTCAGTTCTCCACTGGCTGTCACAGCAGATGTATTTGTCTTATACCTACAACGATGATTATTTCACTAATTGTCAGCTGAGCAAATGACACTGGCAGACTGTGTTCTTGTCTTCTTGCTCATCATCAGTAATGAAGAGTCTGCAGGCCAAATTATTCCCTAAGTGATAGCTTTAGCCCCACTGCTTTCAAATTATGCTCTCAGTTATTAAAATTATGTTTCTGTCATAAGCACAACCTCACTGCTTTTGGTGGATCTGTGCAGATGTGGCTAATCTAAATTTAATAAACAAAGGTACAGGTATGAGTGGAATTTAGAGTGTTCCTTCCAAACTGCCATGCTTCGCTGTAATAAAAGTTAGAAAAAAAATGAAGATATTTGACTACATAGAGAGAAAAGGCTGTGCAGTAAGAAAAGGCTCTTTCTGCATAGCCCCTTTTGGGGCAGATCTGCATTTTTGGTATTCGTTTTCAAATTGGTATCTTCACATATGAGATGTGGCATAAGAAATGGACATTTTTCTTGGGACTTTTAAAATGAGAGTTATTTTTAAGTTAAATACAGAGTGAATTCCGCTCACAAATGTCTTTATATTCAAACATTTTGACTAACTCTATTGATGCCTATTTTATTTACTTCCCCATGTCCTGCAAAGCAATATGCCTAAGATAGGTAGATACTTTGTTCTCTCTCTCTTTTCATTCCAGTATAGGGTTGGGCACTATTCCTTACTCCAGAACTTTTCCTCAGTAATGGAAAACTTGCATATGCAGCATTATGGGAAAACAAACAAACAAACAAACAAACAACAACAACAAAAAAACCACAAACACAAAAAAAAAAAAAAACAGAAACAAACCTTGATTTCAGAGACTATGAAGTTAAGAGTTTAGCTTCCAGCATCTACTTTTTACAAGATGAGTTTCAAACCCACTTGGATTAATTCTGTGAAAGTGCATAGTGTCTGCTTTTCCAAAATTGTACAGTTCCCATTTTTACTTCCTGTAGCTGCATTTTGTGAAAGAAGAGTGTGCACTTTGCAAAAAACAGTAATACAAATCTATTTTCAATAAGAGAAATGAAAATTACATTAGAATATATTGTTAATCCCTTTCTCTGAGGCTCTTTTCATTTGATTGACATTTCTTTATCAATCTCTTGCTGCTACTCTTTCTTCTTATTGTATTTCTTTGCCATATGCAAGTACTCTATCAGTGATCTCTCTGCACACACAGTGAGCAACAAATAGCATCATATCTAATCCCCTGTCTGATTACTCTGTACATAAAGTCTAACATTTCCCACCATAAAGTAATTGGATGAATTGATCTGTCTTTCCAAGGTCAGGCAGGCTTATATTGGTTGTCTGAGTCTGAATGCATCTCTTTTCATGTTATGCTTAAACAACCTGAACCCAACAAACTTGTGCTCTGTTCAATAACCTCTGCCACGAACTGTATCCTCTACTTTTAAGAGTCAACACGGTATTTCAGCAGCAAAATCAAGCAACATACTTGAAGTCTTTGACTCTACTGCCTCTACTGTTATATATATAGATATTATATATATGTTTATACATTTGTTTGCAATCCATCATTATACTCAGACTTGGAGTGTTGGTTTGCAGCCACTGGCTTCCTTTTCTTGCTGGTCTCACAGGAAAAGTATAAGTGATTCTGGAAAAGGAAAAATGTAGTTCTACATCAAGTGACACAACTCATTTATACCACATGTATATATGTATGTCAAAAAGCAATTATGAAGGGGCACAGCTAGGTGCTGATTCCAAGTATACTCTAAGGCAATGCTTAATTTTTGCTCTTCTGCTGTAAATTCAGTTGTCAAAAAACACGAACTTCTAAGAGTCCAATAATGGACAGTTTTCACTTAAAATGCAACAGGTTTTTTCCAGACACTCGTCACTCATTAGTGTATAACATAATGCATTGCCCTCACTAGACTTCTGCAGAGTTGGGTTTGCTCCTCTTTCATTCCCAAACCAGCAAAATTCACTTTGCCTTCGCAGAGGAAGAGAATAAACTCTGCCCTGTTGCTTTCAGAGCAGGCCTGGTTCTCTCTAAGACATTGATGTCGGTCTCCTCCGCAGAGAGAGTAGAAATACTTCCTACATTGTCATTTGTAAATGAAGCAAAAGACATTGCTCACACTCTGGCTGAGTTCCATCTTAGCAGAAGAGCTGCATGTTTTTTTAATGCTCATCCATCTGAACTGTATTTTATTCTTTTGCATAAAATCCAGAGTCATGAATTCTGCTGTGAGAAAAGGCTCCCTTGTTTTCACCAATATACTCGTTTTCCTTAAAAATCAATATGAGGAAATCCCTGAGTGCTTTGCACACAGATGTCTGCAGAAGGGTTATTGCTGCCAGGTTTTTCCAATGTGTCAAATAATCTTTGTATAATTTATAAATGATAACAAAGCAATCAGGCCACATTCATAAAAGCCCAGTGACACATAATTTAGTTGAATCTGAGGATTAGAATGAATTGTCTCTCTTTGTTCCGAGTTCTAAATCTTAGTAAATGATTCACTGCATGTCATTACAGCTTAATATTTGCATGAAATCACAGTTTAACTGGCATAATTTAACAGCAATTAAAAAGCTATTTAATCGTCATGCAAATTGGCATGAGGGGCCTTGAGTAGGAAGTGTGTTTGAGGCTTTTTTCTGCATTTGCAAGCAGACAGTCACATACTTTCAGACACCTCTAACATAATTGATGGTGGTTTTCCTTTTCACTGAAATGTGAATGTACAATAGTATGTGTTTTCTCTTACAATTGAGGATTAAGTCCCAAGTCATGACTCTAAACACTTTCACTCTCTAGTACAAATAAAAATATTTTTTTAAAATGTATTTTATTTACTGTATTGGTCCATCTACAGATGTCATCTACATACAGTGCAACAAAAATCTGATAGGAAATGAAAATTCAAAAAGACAGACAAAACTTGGCTGTTGCCCAGATTCACATTAACTCCTGTTTTGGCGTGCCAAAATTGATGAAATAATGTAAAAAAACCCACTGAGCTGTGATGACCCATTGTCGTATCTATAGTTATGTAAGATATAGGTAAGTTATGTATCTATAGTATGTAAGATTAAATCTAAGCTTGTTTTAAAACCTTGACTCCAATCCTTCAAGCAATTACACACATGCTTAGTTTTAAGTGCTTGAGTATTACCAATTATTTCAAGGGGATTACTGATCCACTCAAAGTTATGCAGATATGTAAGCGTGATTAAGGCTCATCCTCCATATTCCTAAAACTCCTCATTGGTTTTAACAGTGGGAATTTGTTAAGACCAGTCATCTTTTAATTCTCACAGCATGGCTTTAGAGGAAACATAATTATTCTGAAAAATTAGTCATCTGAACATAAATAATAAGAACTGAAGCTGAAGTCATCTGTGCTGGTTTTAGCTTGTTCCAGTCTCAGGACTCTTTTCCAGAGTAGCCAGAACCATCAGGCTCGCAGTGGTTTTATGGGAGTTTAGTAATTTCTGAATCTGAGACACTCTAAGCTTGTAGGAGCTTTTGAACCACAGCAGCCTTTTCAAGGCTATCTCTTACCTCTGTTTTCCACACCACTAGATAATGAAGTATCAATATAATGAGCCTTTGTTAACAAGTTGCATTTACAAGTACTTACCTATTAAAGTATTTCAAATGCTTCAGTTTACACTTATCACAAGGTCACAAAGACCAGGAAGGAAAAAATAAAGGAGGAGCATTGATATTTTTGTTTTCCTCCCTAAAGCAAAGGTTTGACCATCTTTTAGACACAAGGTCTTGTCTTCATGCTACAAGTTGTAGAGCTGGAATTTACAAAAGTGTTGATTAATATTTTTGGTTTGTTTGTTTAGAAAGCATATTATATTTTAATCATCTGACTCTCTCATCTTTACTGTGCCACTCAATTTGTTGAGTGAAATTCACTTGTGTAAGAATTAGCTGATGTCATTTGCAAATGTTTCTTGTACTCTTTCAGTCTGCTTAAGAGACCCTGAAGTAATGAAGAGCTCACTCAAAGTTTGACCAGTGTCTCAGTCAAAACTTTATGTTTAAGTCCTGTTGGTATAAATGATTAAAAACTGCAAAGAAACCTGAAGCTTTCCAAAGCTCAGTTAAGCCAAGCAATGCATGTGTCCTGTGATTTTGTTGGGAGCTGGGAATATATGTTTATTCAACTCATTCAGCTCAAAAAACCCTGAGGCTGGCAGTCGAGTTTTCCACAGTCCTTTCACACATATCAAAATCTAGAGTATAAGGCCTTGCGTTTTTCCAAATCTGTGTTTCTTACATAATTTTTATGGGTACATTTTGGGATTATCTCTCTGTGAAGAAATTCTTCCTGGTGTCCAACCCAAACCTCTCTTGGCACAGCTGGAGGCCATTTCCTCTCATCCTGTCACTTGTTACCTGGGAGAAGAGGCCAAACCCCACCTGGCTACAACCTCCTTTCAGGGAGTTGCAGAGGGCAATAAGATCACCCCCAAGCCTCCTCTTCTGCGGGATAAACACCCCCAGCTCGCTCAGTCTCTTCCCATCAACCTTGTGCTCCAGACCCTTCCTTAGCTCCATTGCCCTTCTCTGGACATGCTCCAGCACCTCAATGTCTTTCCTGGAGTGAGGGGCCAGAACTGGACGCAGCACTTGAGATGTGGCCTCACCAGTGCCGAGTACAGGGGGACAATCACTATTTAAATATGTAAAGCCCCTGGTACTTTTTATGTGATCCTACACAGTAAGTTAGCAAACAGCTTAAAACTTGTTGGAAGTACCTGGACTGTTGTGGAATCCATGGGAAATGGGTCACTTGTGGTTCATCTGACAGTACACAGGCAGCTTTACCACCTACTTGTTAGATGAGAGATTTCCTGTACTCTGCCTGCTGCAACTAGTTTTGTATTTCTCCCCACAGTCTTCAAAAATTACTTTTTCTCCTGCTTTTTGGTCAAGCTTTCAGACCTTTAACCTGCAAGGTTGATGTCTTCACTGTTATACTGGTGCTGACGAGGCACCAGGTGGGAAGGAAAAAAAACTTGTAAACTGTCTCTTGTGCCTACTAGCCTTGGCCTGTTGCCACCTAACTCTTGATAATGAACAGCAGCAAAGAAATCCCTGGGGATAAGCAGCGAAGGGTAAAAAAAAAAATCTGGCACTGCAGAACTAATACAAACAGTTTTACCTCTTGTAGTTATTCCAAAGCGGTTATTTATTTATTTTTTAATTTGTCTCTTATAAAACATCAAATATTTTAAGTCTCAGAAAAGCCTACATTACTAGATATAAAATAAGGATATAAATTTTGTGGTTAAAGCTCTAGCCTAGTATACCACATCATCAAGAGATATTTAATGCAAATTTGTGTTATCAAGTGTAGTTTTGACATTCCCAATTCATTTTTGCATTGCCTTAAATGATTTCTGAATTAATTCTAATTTACTTAGATTATTCAGCTTCTTGTGATCTCACCCATTTATTATGTCTGCTTAATTTTCAAGGATTGTATTCAGATAACTCTTATTTTTTTACTTTGTATTAGTTATAGAAGCATAACTCTTATGTCTTTTATTTGCAAATAATTGCCTGAAAATGATTTTTTTTTTTGTTTAACTTTTTTCTCCAAAGGGGCCTAACAAGTTTTCCCCTCTTTCTCTGCAGGGCCACCTTCTGCCCCGAGGAATGTGGTTTTTAACATTAACGAAACAGCTCTGATGTTGGAGTGGAGCCCCCCGAGCGATACTGGAGGGAGAAAGGATCTCACTTACAGTGTCATCTGTAAGAAATGTGGCTCGGACGCCAGCCAGTGTGAGATCTGTGGGGGAGGCATCCGCTTCATCCCCAGGCACACGGGGCTCATCAACTCCTCGGTGACGGTGCTCGACTTCGTGGCGCACGTCAACTACACCTTCGAAATCGAAGCCACCAACGGGGTCTCGGAGCTGAGCTTCTCTCCCAAGCAGTTCACAGCCATCACGGTGACCACAGACCAAGATGGTAAGTCCCAGTGTGTCTGTTCCTGTGCCCCTGACACCTACGGAGATGCTTTTGTTTCTTAGAAGTCTGGCTCAGCAAGTTAGGATGTTTTGCAGGTTGCTAAATGTTTTTACGTGCTTTCTGTGAGGACTTTCAGCCCCTGCTGATGAGGGCATTAAATGCTTTTGGCAGTTGGCCCTTGACCCCATTACACAGGACACAAAACCATAGCTTTCTGTTTAAGTACAATCTTTAGCTACCTGAGAGTAACTGTATCTATCAGTGGTTCATCAGAGCTGGAGTCTGGTGCTTTTGAGATTTCAGTTTTGCAAGAGTAAAACACCAGAGGTTATCCATCACAATTGCACAATTCAAAGGAAAAGTGGAAGTGAACTCACTACCTTTAGTATCTGTGTTTCACAGTACTAATACAGCATTTCTCACTGTAAAGGTATTTCAACATCTGTATGAGCCATTTCCTACTAGATTTTTTTTGATCCTTTAATTTTAAACTTTCCATTATTGTTTTGAGCTTTTTCTTCCCTCTATTTCAGTTTGAATTCATGTCCAAGGTGAACCTTCACCAGAAACATGGGAAACTAGAAGAGCTCTCTGTTTTTGTTTATTTCTGCAACTTTTTCTTGTTCCGTCTTTAGAAGTGCTTACTGTGCCAGGAAATGGCATCACAGGTTACCAACAATGTAAACTATAAAGCAGTGTCCTCTTCTGGCTTTTGTCACTGTAGACAAGACAAGAAGGTTATTTCAAAATTATCCCTTGCTGACATTTGTTCCAGAAATGTTTTTCACCTACTGTGCAGTGACATTGCAACTGCAGCTGACGTGTTTAATGTAGAGCAGGAACTGAACTGGCAAAACCACTGCTTTGAGCAAAAAACACATGATAATCTGATTCTATTTAGTAAAAGTGCTAATGTTCCGGAGGATCCTGTTATGTTCCACTTGTAGGAAGGCTCGAGGTTTTTTCACTGATCAGCCTAGCAAAAATCTGCTTACCTGTGTATCTGGGACTAGTAGTTTTGTTGATGAGTAGGTAATGACTTGTTTGCCTTTGGGCATACAAAAAATTAACAGCTTGCTGTGATCATGATGATGATGATGACAATGGTGGTAATATGAATAATATTCATGAAAATGGATTAGAAAAAGCACAAAAACTACTCACCGTTCAGGTGATGATGGTAACAGCAGAGCTAATCATTTAAGATGCCTAATGATATATGGGCCTTGCAGTGAGAATTTCCCTAAGCACTTAAGCTGTGTATCACCTTCATATCCCTTTTCCTTTCTCAGTAAAGCAAAAATGGTGTTAGAAAGTACCCCTAAGTGCACTTACTTTTGGGTATTTTGCTAAATGGCATTTAATGCATGCACAGGTGGAGGTCACCAGAGATATGGTTTATTTTTAAGCTGGGTAACAGCTGTGTGAACACAGCTCGTGATGTGCATTTAACTGGTGGCCTTTTAAAAAATAGTATCTTCTGCTTTAAGGACAGAGATTTTCACTGCAGTTTACTCAAAACAGGGAAAATGTTCTGATAATTTGTGACACACTGGTAGTAAACTCTGGAGTATAGAGTGCTTGTATTCCCTATAATAATTCTTACATTACTAAAATTGCTATGCAAGGGCTTCAGAGAATTTAAGACCAGATTTTCAGAATTCTTTGTCAGTTTATTTGGATACAAAAAGACAGCATCGCAGGAGTCATCTATAAAATGTAGTTATAAAGATAAAAGCATTTTTGTAGGATTACCAGCCGTTCAGTTGTATAAAACCATAAGCATGGTAACTATATATTTAGAGGTAAAAGAAAAAAATATAATGTTGGATGAAGTGTGGAAGAAAGTTAATGGAGTTTTTGTTGATGGAAATTAATCAACATTTTTTGTGAGTTACTTTTAGTTATAAATAAGAAGTGATATGGAGAAAGCTGTGGTATCTCACCTCAGAAATGTAACCTGTAGAATTACAGCTTCAGAACATTGCAGAGATTTTTCTTATAAACTCACTGTTACAATCTTCCCTTATAATCTTAATTATACTGAAATGGATAGTACTTATTGCACAGTGCTGCAGGTTTGTGCATACATTCATAGAAAGCAAAGATCCAAGATTAAGCATATCACATGACAACAAATCAAAAATGTATAAATTTGTACAAGGACTGGATCACTAGAATTGGTTTAAAACAATTTTTTTTTACTTTTGATGTGTCTAATATCTAGATCTATAATTAATCATTCCTACACAACATATTTATGCCATGTTCAACTACCTTTTTATATGTAATCTTTTCATACATACACTTTTAATGTTTTTGGTATATGCTTTGCATGAAGTGCTAAACCTCCTTATAAATATATAAATTGTTTTCTTCCACTGTCATACCTTTATTAAGAATATAGAACCATATCTGCAGCTGTTGTAAATCCAGACCATTCTGTTAGCTGCAGTAATTTACAGTGGCTGAAGACTTAGCATTTTATTTTCTTTGAGCATATTGGATTTACTTCCCTCTAGTGGCCTTTTCTTTTTGACAGTTTATGTGAAATTAGCAGATTCTTCTTTTTACATGCAAAATTATTAGCTTGTTCTTCAGGAGGGTTTCTCTCTTATTGGATTCAGCACTTAGCTGAATAAATAACTCAGTGAAGAGTACTGTGGACATCCATAGAAAGTGAGGAATTGTATCCTGTCACATAAGTGAATAGAGTAGTCTGAGAGCATCAAAGAGGGAAGAATATATGCTGACAGGAGAAGTGAAATAATTCAAAAGTGATTAAAGCTCATCTTTATGCAAAGAGTTCTACCACAACTAATATTAAAATCTTAACTGCCTCTTCATGTAATCACAAGTATCAACAAAATTAAATACACTGCTCAGCTTTAACAGTGACAAGAAGCAGACTAAAGGAAAGTAACACTTAAAAAGGCTGTGCAAACTGCAGCTCAAACCTCTCTGCAATTTGGTGAATAAAGCATTATCAGACCTGATCAAATACTGAAAAAAAATTACTCATAATAATGTGAGTAAGTCAGGTAAAATGAACTTGGCAATCCTCATGATTTTTTCTTTAATTTTATACAAGTACTCACAAATTGGATATCTGTGATTTTGGATTTTTCCCCTTGGCTTCATAAGGAAACAGAATTTCTGTGGTCACATTATCTGTCAGGCACCAGAAAGAACTGTGAACCCAGGAGCCAACATGGGTTTGATAACAGTGAAAAAGAGTCAACAGAACTGTGAAAACTGATCACTTGGAGTCACCAAGGTGTTGGTTGGGTCTGCAAGTTGAAAAGAATCGTGAAGCTTCCTTTCTGGACTAGAGACCCCAACTAACTGACCACTTGGCCTGTCTGCTGACTAGTCAGCGAAGAAAGAATATATTTCAGTCTTTACAATCACAGCATGTGTTGTGTCCTCTCCAGCAAGCAAGGATGGTGTAGGGGGGTGTGTTAGGGAGTGTAGATGTTGCAGATGGGGAGATGAGGGAAGTGTGGCTTTTTTTCAAAATGATTTGAGATACCAAAATAATCCCTACTTTAAAGGCAGATAAATGGACAGATAAGTATACAAGAGATCCTTCTCAGAAAAGCACTTAAGCAAAGTTCCTGTTCAAGGAAGAACATTAGCACATATTAAGCGCTTTCCCAAATCACTGCTAAAGTAGTTTGTAAACAACTGAAAGATAAAACATGTTTTCACAAAAAGCCTCCTCAAAAAAATGTTTCACATACTATTGTTCAGAGAAGTGCCTGGATGCCTTTTCTTTATGGGAGAGAGAAAGTTTTATGCAGCAGTAAATATGCTGAGTACAAAGTAATTGTACTCAATCGACTTTAAATCATTGTGTGAAGAAGCAGAGAATTACATGCTGAATTGTAATTTATGTTTCTCTTATGACTAATGGAAGGAAGAGACACCTCACTATATAACTTTCTGAGCATGCCACAGAGTCTGCATTGCCTAAAGAAAATTCAGAGGTACTTGAGTTTTTTCATACATAATTAAAGTAGTAAATAATGAATAATTAAGCAAACAGAACTTAAAAAGTAGTTCCTATTTCCAAATAACAGTCCATATTCACATTTACTCAACGTGCACTCACATGTTCTATTCCTTGAGAACAGGGAGGAAAAGAATACACTATAGAAATACTCCTGCCTTTGCATCCTGGAAAGCTCTTCTCCTGTCTCAGTTCTGCAGTTTGTGGGTGACTCTGGTCTCTGTGACACCAAAGACCTGCTACCAGTCTACAAAATCTGAGGCACAAGAGAGCACAATCTGTGGGCACACACCCTGGCACTATATTAAAGCCCTGGCTCATTTTTTCTGTCTGTCTAGTGCTGGCAACGGAGATTTTCAGGCAGACTCTGAAACTGCAATTCTATCAGGATTCCTTTGTCTAATACCTCTTCTTTTACATGAGCCATTGGCAGATACATCCAAGGTGATGTTTCCTAATCCAATGGTAAAATCTTGCCAGTGTTTGAAAGGGATTGCCTTTCATCTAATTCCTTTTCCCAAATAAGTTATTCCTGGTGCAGGTGGCTCCTCAGACATATTTGTAGTCCAGTGCAGATGGTCTCTAGAAAGAGCAACCATTTGTCACTCTCTTAGAGCTGTGTGAACAGAGGAATTCATGGCAGGATTTCAGTGTCTCTTCCAGGAATAAACGTGACCATATCACCATGACTTAATGGCATATAGCATTATAATCACAATGCAGATGGGAGAAGTGGTTAAGAGGTTCCTCTGACTGTCATTCTGACTCTTGGTTGCACCACCAGGACAGTTTATCAGGATTACTCCTTCTGATTGATGACAGGATAGCTTCAGGATCCTCGTTGGGGTGACAGGGGATTTGCCTGTTTACTCATCCTAAGTTGCTTCCCATAGCAGCATCTCGCTTTCACCCTAACCAAAAGTCAACTTTCCTTTTTTTTCCCCATCTCACTTTGACCCTAATCAAAAGTCAACTTTCCTTTTCTTCC